CACTAATTCGGCCACACTGTCCTAAGAAAGATAACCCGTTCTCAAGTTGGATTATAACCACAGGCATACAGGTTATGATTTACAACACATGTATTTTGGGGCCACAATTCAATCCATAATACAGAATATCTCTGGGATAAAGTCAGATTTTGCACAATTACAAAAAAACCAGGCACGAGTGTGCAAACCAGATTTCAATTTATTCTCCACTGACATGAGATTTAAAACAGCACTAGGAACATATCTAGGTCAGTGTCAATATGTAGTTACAAATTACCAAAGAAAGAAATTGGATGCACGGGTGTGCGGGTTCACGTTTTGGCATGGGAGAGACACTGAAATATTCACAACAGACAAGCCAAATCATAAAAATAAAGTGGGACTCATGATCCCGTCATTTTGAGAGTAGGATTTAGCTCTGACATCTTGCAGATTTGTGATATCCTGACTTTTGCTTTAACTGTCCTAAATAATACAAGGTCTAGAACTTTTTTTTATTTTCCACATAAGTGAAGCAATCCTGAAGAAAACTTATTTTCAACAGAAGAAAAACCCTCTTAGACATATTTATGAACAAACACGGAAAAATTAAAACTAACTGGGACACAACACACATTTCAAAGAACAAGAATAAGAAGAATAAAGGACTATTATTCTACCACTTCAAAATAACTGAAATTAGGAAAACAATTGCTATAGACTATTATGTAAGATGAAAGAAAAGGAGGGTTAGAGCTCTCAATGGTTATCTAGGATAAAGTGTATTCCATTCCTGAAATAAGAGGTAAAGACATCCCCCTCATTTCTTGAGAATGTCTTATTTTACAGAAACTTATAATCATTGTATTAATTTGCAAATGTAACTGGCTTTTCTTCTTACACATGTAACACTTCTTGTCTCTTTTTAACACAACTATATACCACCACTACCAGGAATTATCATTTCCCACGACAGCTTCCTCTAATAATATGTAACAGTCCTATAGGATAATTTCACCAAACAAGTTTTATATTTTGGACAAGTTCTTATTCCAGAGACTCCATTTTGTAGACACCCAAGCCCAGTATATCATCTCTCCAATCTTCATTCCTAAACATAGCCCACTGTATTTTGAAGCAATTTATTTATTTGCTATTTAGGTACACATTTACAAAGCAGATTCATTTTATACTTAATAGCTTATACACATTTTGTTTTACAGCACTGATTACAATCCCAACAACAAACAACTCTCCTCCTCGTGACTACCCCTTCTCTTTGTCCTTCTTACCCGTCTGTCCAGCTTTTCCCCTATGCAAATGCTGCCCTTCTGCTCTCTCAGTTTACTAAGGAGTGCATCTCCCAGGGGTAGGTGTTCTGCTCCTAGGCTTTTCTTTTGTAGGCCTATTGTTTTGCTGAGAGCTAATCCTGGGAAGTGAGTCCGATTCCAGACTAAAAGGATAATCTGGGGCTGTAATACTAGGGGTTTCACCAGTCTCTATCCAACCAAGAACTCTGGTCATTTTTGTGTTTTGAATTTTGTTCCACATTTTTCCTCCCACTCTATCCAGGATCTCCAATTTTGTTCACTTTCTGAGTGGCTAGCATTGGTAGCCGGGCACCAAGTAGTTCCTCTGGTCTGAAGGTCATGAAGGCTGAAGTTCCTGTGGTCCATCATACCCTTGGACTAATTGTTTCTATTTGTCTTTGACTTTCTTTACTCTTCTTTGCTCAGGATGAGGAGAGACCAATAGCTGCATCTTAGGTGGCCCATTAACAACTTTTAAGACTCTGGCTGCTACTCACCAAAGTACGATGTAGAACAATATTTTTAGGTACTATGTTGTGCCAATTGAGCTTGATGCCCCCTGAGACCATGGTTCTGAGCCTGCACTCTTGGTGACTCACTCCCTCAAGGTGCTTGGTTGTGCCTAAGAAGCTACCCTAAACTTGTCCCCTGTTAGTTCTGTAATCTACATGGGTATTTTTGTTACACAAATACACATGTAGGAATATAGTTTTGGTTACCTAGTACCACTCTGGCAAGAATAGACCACAAATAGGATGGCTTAAACCAACGGGAGTTTGTTCTCTTACAGTTTGGAGGCTTTAAGTCCAAATTCAAAGTGGCAGGCTCTAGGGGCTGGGTGAAAGCCCCTCTACCTTTGGGTTCAGCTCTGCCTCTTGTTCCTGGCCCACCGGAGCTAGAGGCTTTTCTTCACTCAGACAGCTGCTAGCTGCTGAGAGTCAAAAGTACAGGATTATCAAATAAAAAGGCACAGTCCTGATGTTACCAAACCACATGGCAGGCCATTAACTCAAGTCCACTGAAAGTCCCAAGGTTGGCAGAGCATGGCAGGCTGCTGAACAATGACATGGCTACATGCAGTATCCAAGCACGCCATAAGCTAGAGACCATTCCCTGAGACTTCTCCTTACATACAGGAAGCAGCCCACATCCCTAGGGTAGCTACTCAGCTTCTCACAGTAGATTCCACCATGGAGTTGATTACCAGTCTCATCATGGGGAATACTACATCCAGCTGCCCAGCTAACCAACCAGGCCTAGCCAAGGTGACACACACATAACCACCACAAATACCATCAGCCAAATCTATCTATGGGCATGTTTTCCCACTCACCTATCCAGATCTGATCTTCTCACCTGTCTGCTATGTATTTATCCAGCGACCAGTGTTTGCTGCTACTGATAATGCAGTACCGTGCATGTAACAATGTCTGCCTCCGCTGCCTACACCTTTAGTGCACCTCTCTGTGTCCTTCTGTTGCCTCCTGTTAGTTACTATGCTGGTCACAAACCTTTGTTAAATTGCCTTTTCTTCAAAGCAATTTTTTCTAAGCAGAAGACAACAATTTCAAATCCACTGATCCAAGGGATAACTTCCTTATTTTTTGGATACATCCTGAAATGACAAATTCTTACAAGAGTCCTTTTTGATGCTATATCCCTTTGACCTACCCTGATGCTTTTAGCAACTGTTAAAGGGAACAATGTCAAAATTTCCTGCCTTTTAAATCATAAAAAAAGACCAAATTTACTGGTCTGAAGGAGACTGGTGGAATCTCTGAGACTATGGCCCTTAGGCGTCCTTCAAACGTGGAACTGAAACCACACCCATGGATCACCTTTCAGCCAAATAACAGACAGATCTCTAAAGTGAACAATAAAGCACATGAGGAATGTAATCCTCAGAACAACCACCCATATGAGACCAAAAGAGGAGCATTTGCCCAAAGACGAAGCTCAGAAGGCAGGAAGGGCAGGAAAGAAGGATGAATGGAAACCCAGGGAAGAAGTGAGGAGAGTGCTGTTACACTGAGGGGTCTGTAACTAAGGTCATGAAACAGAAAATGTAAAAATTGTTGAAAGGAAAATGAATTTGCTCTGTAAGGCTTCATCCAAACTGCAATTTAAAAAAAAAAAAGGAAAGAAAATTTCTTGCCTTTTGCTTTTCCAAGTTCAAAATCTGTTTATGAAGGGGCAAAGGAAAACTATTTCTATTATTTGGCAGTAATATTTTACCGTATTAAGAGACTGGCTTGGAAACTGATAATCAGTATTTTCTCTGTACTTAAAGTATACAACAATTTATACCAAACATTTAAATTACTGCAAAAATTAACCAAATTCTTTTATTATTGCCTGAAAAATATCCCTATCTCAAAGATAATTTTCTTGATTCAGTAAGAGTCATAAGCAAAAAAAAAATTTATTGGTTTCATTATTAATTGAAAATAAATCAAATAAATTCCCAAATCCTCAAAAACAAGAAAGCTACATCTGGGAGATAAATCACTAGTATCTATAAAGCCCTGACTACATTGTATGGTGGACATACGTGCAGTGTTTTCATTCATTCTTATTTCATTAACTCCTCACAGTAACTCCATGAGACAGTGAATCCTATCTCCATTTTACAAGAGGAAATGGAGCTACCGAGAGGGCATTCACTTGCAAGAATGCAGTTTGTAGAAAGTGATGTAACTCTATACCTGACTTACAAATAGAATCATAATCTATATTCTTTTGGCCACATCATGACACATCACAAAAACATGGTATGTCTATCTTACATAAACTAAACCAAACTAAACCAAACTCACTGCCGTCGAGTCAGGCCCGACTCATAGTGACCCTCCTTGGGTTTCTGAGGTGGTATCCCTATGGAAGTAGACTGCCCAACCTTCCTTCCAAGGAGTGGCTGGTGAGTTTGAACCGCCAGCCTTCTGGTTAGCAGTCAAACACCTTAGGCACTATGCCACCAGAGCTTGGATTCCAATTATCTTTGAGAAGGTGAACCTAGTTCTACTGCAACTAGATGCCATCTGAGGCACATTTAAGTTTCCCAAATATATCCCCTGAAGTCTTTTTAGAACCAAACTATAGTCTAGCTTAACTAGTAAAGAATATCCACCTTGAGCACTGGGCTTTTTTAAGATCTGTCTATATGACATCAGATTGAGAAAAGCCACTGGAAAGAACAGATGGGAACCTTAGGGGGCACTGAGTTTATGTCAATAGGGAAGGAACAACTCAGAAAAGGAGAGTGAGAATGGTTGCACAACTTGAAGTGTAATCAGTATCACTGGATTGAACGTGTAGAAACTGTTGAATTGGTGTACATTCTGTTATGCATAATCTCAACAAGAACAACAAAAATAAAATGAATTATAAATAGCCCCCCCCAAATTTTACCTTTCTTGATAAGAATGGTGATAATCGATAAAAGGATTTGTTAAAGGTACATAAACATTCAACCACTGCCAGAGTAACACTGAAAGGAGGTATTTTTTTCTCTTTTTATGAATGTTGTGTTCCTGAGAATTTAGAAAACAGCATAAAACCCAAATATAATGGATATACTTTTGAGAATCCTGTGATACATCAAAAGCATTATTTTTCCTTAGTCATTTCTTCTTTGGAGCTGAGCTGCTGAGTCAATTAAACAATCTTAAAAGATGATAAAAAAAAAAGAACATGTAGAAGATAATAGGAAAATAATTTTTCAAACAATCAAGATTTTATTTAACAAAAGCAACAAGTGAGACATTTCTAAAGCCTATTGTACATTTAATATAAAAATAAGGAATTCTCCAAAATCTACTAAAAATACAAACTTTCTGGATAAGAAGTACAGAGAAAATTTATTTTACATTTCAGTCACCCAAAACAGCAGCTTGTGGTCTCCTCCAATTGCACACAGTGGGAGAGTTCTATGCCAGGAAAGACCAGATCCAATGGCTACAGAGCCAATGAGGACGGGCTGCAAAATATGTGAAGAATTAAGAAGCTCAATAAATCCCCAAGTTAAAAAATAAAAACTACTTTCAAAATTAAGAAATGTACTGATAAGTTAACTTTATAGGGAAATGTAATTTAAAAATATACCCCCTCATAAGTATTTGCAGCTGGCTGGAATGAAGGTTATAATTAATCAATGAGTAACTAGTACAGTTCAGACTCAAACATTTTTGCAATCTATACCAACCAAGCAAGCACAATGAAATTACTTAAATAAAGGAGGAAATATAAAATCAGAAGAGATAAAAATGCTTCTTCAACGAATACTGGCAGGAAATATGTTTGCATTGATTAATTTAAATATCAAAATATGCCTTCTCTTTCCAATGTAAAGAGATAGCAGGAGCTCATAACTTATTGAAAAATTGGATGACATAGGTGGAAAAGTAGAAAAGACCAATTAAAAAACATACATGACATGAAACATTTACACATTACCTGAGGGTGGCCTAAATGATGAATTTGTAACTGGGTTGTCATTTTGCCAGGATAGCCAGTGGTTGCAAACAAGTTCTCATTAATTGTGCACCACCTAAGACAAAAGACAGAATGAAAATTGGTATGGTTTCCTACAGACAACCATAAGCTTTTCTAAAACAGGTTATTTCTTCTTGTACACGAACAGTACTTTCATAAGTCTAAATTTTTAAATAGGGGAGCTCTGGTGGCATAGTGGTTAAATCATTCAGCTGCTAAGAAAAGGTCGGAGGTTCTAACCCACCACACACTCTGTAGGAGAAAGATGAGGCAGTCTGCTTCTGTAAAGATTTACAGCCTTGGAAACTCTATGCGGCAGCTCTCCTCTGCCTTAAAAAGGGTCACTATGAATCAGAACTAACTCGATGGCAGAGGGGTTTTTTTGCTTTTGGTAAATTTGTTAATATAGCTTTACAATTGGACTAGTAACTATACATTAATTCCAGGGAAGTTAGCTAAAAGTATTTTCTCATTCTGTAAATATTTTCAAGTGCTAATTGTGTTACTTTGTTAAGTTCCAAAGTTATACAAAGAAAACAGCTCTTTTCTTATAACCAACGGATGTACAGTGTGTGGGAAGACACAAACAAGTCATCAGACAGATAAAAATATTAGAGTACAATACATTTGAAAAACACGTTTAACATTCTTATTGACATTTGAATAAAATAAGCCACACACTCATGCTTAAATTCCTTGGGGTGACATAAACACCTAGCATATTTGAGCATCAAGGAATGCTGGGCATCACACCAACAGATCGATTAATCAACAAGTGTTTATAAAGCTTCAGTGACATGCCTAGGACTGTCCTAAGCACAGGAGAGGAGAAAGAAGGAAAAAGAAATGATTCCTTGATTAAAACAATGGTTGAAATTTGAGTTGTTATTTTTATGTATGGCAGACACTACTTGCTGTCTGTACAACAGCCATCTGTTTTTCCATATTAATTGAATCCTAACTTTGTACAGGTGGCTGTTGTATCCAACCCCAAGAGATGAGACACAACTGGTGTAAGCCAATCATAGCAACTGCCAACAGAAGAGATTGCTTCTTTCTCTTCTCTTATTTTGGGCAGCATGGGATGAGGCGATGATGCCTCAGATTCTGATTGTCATCTTGTGACTACAAAGCAGCAAGCTCAGGGCCATGCTCACTGAGGATGGCAGGGGGAAGAGATGAAAGGGTCTGGGCTCTTTAGCACTGATGAGCGCTAAACCAACCTTGAGAATGACTCTTCCGGACTTCTTTTAATTATCATAAGTCATTGATTTAAAAAATGCACATTTGTTCACTTTTGTGAAATCAGGATGCTTCTCACAATCTACAGCTTCCTTACATTTAGTTGACTATATTTTCATTGTAGGGGTATGTAAAATATAGTGTTTCCAAGTTCTACAGTTGTTTAGGAGATAATTTAGATTTGATGAAATGTAGTGTTTAATAAATGCTCCACTGGTTTTAGTCACTGCTAGTTGGAGTTCCATCAACAAAAGAGGGGAAGGTCCTCAACAAGATGGACTGACATGGTGGCTGCAGCGATGGGCTCAGGTATAGTAGGGATTGTGAGGCTGACACAAGACTGGGCAGTGTTTGGTTCTGTCAGGTTGCTGTGAGTTGGAGAAGACTCGATGGCACATAACAATAACAACAACAACAACAACATCAACAGGAAGTTGGGACTCCTATTACTTAAAGCTGAAAGCAGTCTAATGATTGTACTATACAATGGAATATCATACAAAAATGAAAAAGTACCAGGCAGACTTTTATGTTAACGTAAATGAAAAAGACAGTCACAGACATTTAATATATAGTATGTTCTCATTTAAAACACAAGCTCATGTGCTGTTCTGGTTACCTAGTGCTGCTCTGACAGGAATATACCACAAATAGGATGGCCTTATCAACCAGGAGTTTATTCCCTTACAGTTTGGAGGCTAGAAGTCCAAGTTCAAAGTGCCAGGTTCTAGGGGCTGTGTGAAAGTCCCTCTGCCTTAGGCTTCAGCTCTGCCTCCAGCTCCCGGCCCACTGAAGCTAGAAATTTTTCTTCACTCAGACAGCTGCTGGCTGCTGAGGCTGCCAAGCCCAAGGATGACAAGTAAAGACACAGTCCTGATGTTATCAAACCACACGACAGGTCATTAATTCAAGTCCATTTTAAGTCCCAACGTCGGCAGAGCATGGCCACATGCAGGGTCCAAGTGTGCCATAAGATAGAGACTATCCCCAAGGCTTCTTCTTATATACAGGAAGCAGACCACATCCCAAAGGCAGCTACTCAGCTGCCTGTGGTAGATCCCACCACGGAGTTGATTGCCAGTCTCGTCATGGGGAATAACTACCACCAGCTGCCCAGCCACTCAACCAGGTCCAGCCAAGTTGACATACAAATTTAACTATCGCATGTATATGTGGATGTATCTACATTTACACTTTTATCAGCACTAAAAAATATTAGGAAAGATATGCTCTAAATTATTGGGATGGTACTAGTGAAGTAGTGATATTTTTTTCACAAAATTTTTCCAAAAAAATATTGGAAAACAAATTACTCCCTCCTCAAGATCAGAAGATAAAAGCAAAACTTCAGGAAAGCAAAATGACTATTTATGAAACAATCAGAAGAAAAATCCAGTACAAAAGGAAGGATTGGGAAAGTATTCCAGGTGGTGGGACAGCACAAAGTAACCAAACTCAGAATATCAAATTAGAACTCTAACAAAAATTATATACTACCTGAATAAGTAGGCTCGATCTAAGTGGACAGGTCTCTTCTCTTGAGGATAACTACAAGAAAATATTTTGCATTTTATGAATTATGTCTCAGACTCAAGGTGGTAAACTTAAATTATGATTTAAAAGGTATTTTCTCTTTAAAGGACACAATGCCCAATGTACCTAATAAAATTTCAAATAAGCACTATGTTAAAAGAGATAAAATAGGGTAGACATAAAAACATGACTTAGCCCTACAGGACCCATCACTCAACAGGGTGTTTTTATTTCGTTTCTAACAGAAGTAAACATCACTTAGATCAAATATTTCCTTCTCCGCACTGTTCTGAATTATTCCCCCGTAAATCTGTAAAGCAGGCCTACCCATCTCTGTTGTGCAAAAACCCACAGCTCCGGCTCTTCGCTCGGAGAGACTTGATTTTGCTCTGCAGTGAGGCTCATGTACGCAGGGCAGCCCTATGGATCATCTAGCAATCATGACTGATTTCTTGTAAGCAACAAACTAAATACACTTAGAAAGTACCTGGACTGTGTAATATCCCAGATTAACCAATCATTTCCTGCAACAGCTCCAACTTTGAAGGTGTTCTTTAAGCACCAGTGTGCTGACATTAGTGGCATCTGTTCCGATTCAAGAGATAAAATAGCCTGTTGGGCAAGAAGATCATAGAATCGGATTGTTCCATTCTTCTCTGCAACCATCAGCTGAAAGACAGGAAAATAACACTAAATTATCTATCTTCCTAGCCAAATAGGAGAACTAGGCAGAGACTCAATGTTACATAGAAAATCTAAACATTTGCATATAATACAAATGGGCGATCAAATGCAAAGGAAATAGGAGAAACTTACATAAAAATAGCCAATTTGTAAAACAGAGAAAACAGGCAAAAGACAGACTCAAGAAAGTTAGGTACCATTTTAAGTGATGATGTATGCTTAGCAGAAAGACAAGATCAAACTCAGATACATTCTGGAAAAAGTTATCATTGAGTTATGTTGTTTAGAAAGGATAACCAAGTTTGTGTTTTTCAACAGAGACATTTATGTGTTACACATCCTAATGCCATGTAAGTCTGTTTCCAGAAATGGAAGGTAGCCTGGCATAAAGAAAGAACACAGGCTGGGCGAGCTGGCTGACTCTTCCACTTAAAAGCTCAATGACTCTGCCAAGTCCCAGGGTCATGACTGGCATTTCCTCATTTTTAAAACGGAGATGTGAAGACAAGACCTTGTAGGGTTGTTGTGATGATTAAATATTCAATGCTTGATAAATAGTTGTCACTCTCTGAATAAACAGTAGCTGTTATTTCAATTATTTCCTTGATTTTAAGATACTGGAGTTCATGGGTCCTGCAAATAGTTAGTCAGCTGCTAACTAAAAGGTTGGAGGTTCAAGTTCACCCACAGGCACTTTGGAAGAAAGGTCTGGAGATCTACTTCCAAAAAAATCACTGAAAACCCCATGAAGCACAGCTCTTCTCTGATATACATAGGGTCTCCTTTCCACTGATTTAAGATGTCCAAATGAATTAATCACAGATTATCTATCTGTTTATCTATGTACCTATGATATGTACAAAGTATGCCAAATCATTAAACGAATGAATGATTTATAAAATAAATCCAAATTTTACAATTTACAAACTCAGTTATAGGGGCATCATTCCTTTAGGACTTTTCAGAGGTGCAAAACCATAAAACGCACTGTGAATACCATTTCTAAGGGGAAACAGCTTAAGTTGCACACAACAGTATAGTACTTGACCCAGACTGAGTTCCAATCTGTGACTGTATGACCTTGGGCAAATTACTTCACCTTTTGGGGCTTCAGTTATCTCTTCTACAAAACAAAGTGAATAATGCTGCTGACCTCAAAGTGTGTTCTGAGTATTAAATGAGAGGATATATGCCATACATGCAGCATAGTTCCTTGTATAGAGAAAAAACAATGAACAAAGGTTGGTTGTTAAATCTCACTTCATTTAGCCACTCTCTACCTCTTGTTGTCTTGGGGTCAGAGACTGAGATGTCTTCAGTTAAATTCTCTGATTCTGTGACATTCTGGATCCCTGGTTATGTTACTACCACCCACTGAAATCTTAGCTCCACTTGTGGTTTATGGATTTGAAAGCTGAGTTTCTGGAGGTTTCCTGACTCTTGTACCTCATATATTTACTTTCAGCTTTCCACTTTGTATGACTCTTTCATATACTTTATATCTCATGGGATTTTTATAAGAATGCCAAGATAGGTAACCATGGACCCATGTTTCTACTTCCACTCGGGCTTTACATGTCTGCCTTATTTTCATTAAGCATAATAGAACAAAACTCTGAGTTTGATGTCATATGGCAGACCACTGAAAAACACTGGATTTTTATAGTAATAATGTAGTGTAGACAGTGACAACAAGAAGCAGCTAAAATTGATTAAGTGCTTATGTTCTAGGTAATCTTTTAAGGACTTTATAAGTGTTTATTCACTTAATACCTGTAAACATCCATTTTACAGGTTGAAGAAGTGAAGCTAGTGAGTTAAAGACCTTGCCTGAGATCACACAGCCATTAAATGGTGGGACTAGGATTTGACTGCAGGCAATTAACAGTCCATACTCTACAGTACTTCTGTCACCTTTCTGTATTCTGAGTTTAACAGTAACATGATGACACTACCACCTTAAGAAGATTTGTTGTTGTTCGCTGCTATTGAGTCAGTTCCGACTAATAGCAACCTATGTATAACCGAATGAAACAATGCCCAGTACTGTGCCATCCTCACAATTGTTGGTATGTCTGAACCCATTGTTGGAAGATTAGTGTAACTAAAGTAGACAGGAAGGATCAATGAGTAGAGAGCCAAAGATTTGAAACAAGCTAAAAATCAGTGAGAGTCAGGTGTGAGAACAGAAAGGGAAGAATGCATCCTGATGACAGAAGAGAAATGTACCCTACTAATAATAAAGGAAAAATTAAAAGACCTGGGAAAGTCTGTGTAAAGGGAAAGAGGAAGTCAAAGCTGATTTTAAGATTTTGAATTTATGTGATTTAGAGTAGGGACTTCCAAATACTTTGAAGTTATGGGGAAGAGGAATTGAAGTTTAAAGATATAGGTGATAGGTTCAAGAACTTAGAAATAAAAGATGTGAAGAAGATAGTTTAAGGGGAGGCAGAAGAATGTAATGGTTAAGAGCAAGAACTACACAATCAGGTTGCTTGGGTTCAAATGTCAATTGTTCCACTTATTTGCTGGTAACTTTGGGTAGGTTACTTAACTTCTTTGTGTCTTGGTTTCCTTATCTGTGTGAAATGATAAAATATATGAAATACTGACAAAGGGGCTGGCATATAATAATAATAAAAAAAAAACCAAACTCACTGCCGTTGAGTCGATTTGACCATAGAGACCCCTCCCTGGGTTTCCAAAGTGGTAACACTACGGAAGTAGATTGCCCAATCTTCCTTTCGAGGAGTGGCTGGTGAGTTTGAACCACCAACCTTCTGGTTAGCGGTCAAATGCCTTAGGCAATACACCACCATAGCTCCTTAAAAACCAAAGGCATATGACTGCCAGCCAGAAGGCTGGCAGTTCATATCTACCAACCACTCCTCGGAAGGAAGATTAGGCAATTTACTTCCATAGAGATACTGTCTTGGAAACCCAAGGAGGGGTCGCTATGAGTAAAATCGACTTGATGGCAGTGAGGCATATAATAAGCACTATATAAATGTTAGGAGCTCTGGAGGCACAGTGGTTAAATGCTTGGCTGCTAACCAAAAAATCCATGCTTTGAACCTAGCAGCCACTCTGCAGGAGAAAGATGTGGCATGCTGCTTGTGTCAGGATTACAGCCTTGCAAAACACAGTCATCAAAAACACTGTTCTATATTCTACTTTGGTGAGTAGTGACTGGGGTCTTAAAAACTTGTGAGCAGCCATCTAACATGCAACTATTGTTCTCTCTCCATCTGGAGCAAAGAAGAGTGAACATCAAAGACGTGAGGAAATAATTAATCCAAAGGACTAGTGGACCACATGAACCACAGCCTCCATGACCCTGAGACCAGAAGAACTAGATAGTGCCCAGGTACCAATGCTCACCACTCAGAAAGGGATCATAATAGGAGGTCCCAGATAGAATAGGAGAAAAATGTGGAATAAAACTCAAAATCATAAAAAAGATCAAGCTTACTGTTTTGATGAGATTGGTGTAACCCCTCAAGACTATGGCCCTTAAACACCCTACAAGCTGGGAACTGAACTCAACCTCCTGTAGCTCAACTAGCCACACAACAGACATCTATGGTCAGCTATGAGGTGAGCAGTAATACCAGAAAGGCATGCCCTCATAGAACCATATGAGATCGAAAGGCAGCATTTGCACAAGGATAAAGCTAAGAAGGCGGGAAGGGACAGGAAAGAAAAGACAAATGGAATGGTAAACACAGGGAGGAAGCAGGAAGTGTGCTGTTAAAATTCTGGGGATAGTAATTAATGTCACAAAAAAAATGTGTATAAATTGTCTAATGGAAAATCAATTTGCTTGGTAAACTTTCACCCAAATTACAATTAAAAAAAAGAGAAGAAAAAGAAAAAGATCACAGCCTTGGAAATTCAGCTCTACTCTCCCCAGTAGGGTTGCTATTAAGTCAGAATTGACATGATGGTAATGAGTTTTTTTAACGTAAATGTTTACTATGATTAAACTACCTTATCTTTTTGAACAAGTCTGAGGACAAAAAATAGTTGCAGACAAGAAAGAGTCAATGAGAAGAAGTATAAAGACATTAGAAGTGTGTGACAGAGTGCCAAGGGCCTGGTATGAACGCTAGAGGACAGATGAAGGATTAACTTTAAGATGTAGTTCTAGAGAAAGAGACAATAAAAAGAATGACGTACAATCTGGCAAATGAGAATACTCTGTTGAATGGCTTTTATCTTTCCAATGAAATCAGAGGCAAGGCCATCTACTGATAATCAGAATTCATAGTGTAGTTTTAGTACTTTAGAAAGTTCTAATCTGAATACAAACAGAACACTACCACAGCAAGCAGAGATTTTCCTTATGCCACTACTGCTTTCTGTTTACAGACATGAATTTAACTTTTCTTCAACTAAATAGTTGTTGTTGTTGTTGTTGTTATGTGCCGTCAAGTCGGCCCCGACTCATAGCGACCCCTCCTTGGGTTTCCGAGGCAGTATCACTACGGAAGTAGGATTGCCCAACCTTCCTTCCGAGGAGTGGCTGGTGGGTTTGAACCGCCAGCCGTCTGGTTAGCAGGCAAGTCAACTAAATAGTAGAATACTGCAAGTAGATAGTTTGCCCTCAGTTTCTGGATTGTAATGTACTGAAGTGCAGGAGAAATAAACTGAATAAATGCCATTTGGGGATGATGGTTGTCAAGTCAAAACAATTACAGAGAAACTTTTAAGGTACAGATTTCTAAAACAAACCAAACCCATTGCCAGTGAGTTGATTCTGACTCACAGCAAACCTACAGGATCACAGTGACCCTACAGGATAGAGTACAACTGCCCCAGGCTGTTTCCTAGGCTGTACAGCTTATGGAAGCAGACTTCCTCATCTTTCTCCTGTGGTGTGGCTAGTGGTTCAAACAGCCGACCTTATGGTTAGTAGCCCAATGCTTTAACTGTGCTACTAGAGCCATCTTACTTATTTCTAGACTAACCCAAATGTAATTGTGCCAACTGGAAGCTGTGAAGTGAAGAAGTCATTTGTTTTCTTACTGTAGGTACGTGTGTATCACATCTGTGTATGTCTTTTCAGCTTGCTAAAAGAAATCTAAGTTATAAATACTAACCTTGCAAGTCTCTTCAGGATGCCAGCACACACTCATTCCAGGGGAACGAAGAGCAAAATGAGCTGTCTGAACTCCTTCCAAGTCCCAAATCCTAAAAAAGAATGAAAGGAGTACAATGTTAACTATTTTGATGTATCACTACTAAAGAAATTAAATTTCCATGAATTCATTCAAAGCTATCAACTAGAGATGATAAGGTAGACATTTTAAAAATTTATCTTCTAAAGAAAATTTTCACACTGCTTTTAGGAAATATGGAACTAGTATATAGAACTTAAAGTTTACCATATTCAATTATGGAAAAAAGTATCTCATACACTGTTATTCTCTCTAATTAATTAATCTAACAGCAACATGGTAATACAGTAACCAAATTAGATTATGTGCATACTTCATTTTGTGGGCTACATATTGAAATTTCTAATCAGGTTGCATCCTGACTTCAGCAGTCATCTCAGTTAACAGTAATTTCTAGCAATGGTACTGAAAATTGTGCTCCCATTTTCAAAATAACATATAAGAAAGCTGATACGAGGGGTTATGAATTGGGGAGATGGCCATTTTCCTTAGTTGCTTATTCCTTCTATTTTCGGGTTTCCACTCCAGTCTCTACTTCCTATCTTATACCTTTTCTATTCTGGCTCACTTCCCTAGTGTTCTCCCTCAAAGGAGGCCAGGCATGATAGCTGCCAGATTAAAGGTGGGTTAAAGGAGTAGGCACCTTATTTCTCCCATTCTCCCTCCCTTCAATACTTACACATTCAAGGTGACAATTGATATAGCCCTATAATCCCAATTTCTTTCCCATTTTCAGAGTGGGAAAAAGACTGGGAAATCTTAGTCATGGGACCATGTTGTGAGTACTTTCACCAACTTAGAATGTTTTCCAGCTCATTCTTTACACTGAGCCACTGTCATAACTTGTTGGCACAGAATGTGACACAGAATTACCATGGCAGGGGATGGTAAGTCAGTGGGTGGCTGGAAAAGTGCACAGAATTCTGGTCCTTAACAACTGAACACTTTCATTAGAATATCTTGATTTTTTTTTTAAAGATTTTATAGTTTATATCTCATTCTCACTCACTGCCATCGAGTCGATTTGACTCACAGTGGCCCCTCCTTGGGTTTCCAAGGTGGTATCTCTACGGAAGTAGATTGCCCAATCTTCCCTCCAAGGAGTGGCTGGTGGGTTTGAACTGCTAGCCTTCTGGTTAGCACTAAAATGCATTAGACTTTATGCCACCAGATCTCATTAGAGACCATAAAACAATTTCTACAAATTTAAAGAATATGTTTTTGAAGTTAGGCAAAACTTTATTTCAATGAAATAAGCATTTGTTGGACAATGTTAGTATTTTGTGCCAAACCACTTATTTTCAGTATTTTTTTTCCTTGTAGAAATTATAGGGTTTCCACTCCTGAAATAGATTGACACAGTAGCCCTAACAATGGGCTCAAACATGGCACTGACTGTGAGGATGGCGCAGGGCTCGGCGGTGTTTTGTTGTACGCAGGGTGGCTAGGAGTTGGAACTGACTTGATGGCACCTAACAATGACAGTAACAATTCTGAAATATCATGGTTACATATAAACTAACACAAATGTTTTGAAAAGGATCACCTATTTGATTAAATAATTGAGAAGCATACTCTTTTTTCTTGCCAAATCTTTTCATCTTTATTTATTACTAAGGGAAATAATTACAATTTAATTGAAGATGGGAATCACATTTACCAAGGTTTATGCAATTGTGTTTTACCCCTCACGTGAATGAGATTATTAATGAGAACAAAATATTTCTCTTTTCTGTTGCCTTTTTTTATAATAAAGTATTGGACTAGCATATATTTTACCACTATTGAACTATAGGAATTTGTCTTGCAAATTTAGTGATTCCCATGGAAGAATAGTTTAAAACTCCTCTATTCTTTTGATTTTACTCTAATATGTATTTGATTTTTGTTGGCGATTATATAAATTGAGCAAATACCAGAGTATTTTCATGATTTCTTTTTTCTTTCTAGTGAAGGAACAAAAGAGATGAAAGTTGTAAAACAGGATGAAGATTTTATCTATAAACAGGTCATTCAATATATTATATTCCTGCTCAATGAACCAAATTTTAGTCTAATTTTTAAACAGTATTTTATCCAGAATAAAACCTGATACTTTTATTTTTAAAATGACTTAAAAATGAGGAGGGTGATCTAGATTACTTTTCATAGGACTAGAAAAAGATATTTATGGTTTATCATGAAATCAATAATTTTTAGTAGTTGCATAATCCAAGTACTAAACATGCAAAATATAACACATAGGACTAAAATGAGTTATCATAACTAAATTTGCTACAGATGGTACAATTTAAGTTGTTAAGTCATGTTTCCTTTTTTTTGATAGATTCCATAATTAAGCTCTTCTCAAATTCTTTTTAGAATCCAACTCATTTCTGTGTGTCTTTTTTACATGGCTCATGTAGTAAATATTAGTTCCATCAGATAAAGTCACAGTTCTTTTTTTTTTTTTTTGACTTTTTAAAAGAACAGCATATAAAATAAAAACACAAATTATTATGTTTACAGCTCAAAGAGAATATACTCAAAGAGAACAGCATAAAAATCAAGAAACAGAATACTTCCAGGACTATAAGATGTCTTCTTGTATTCTCTTCCAGTTATATTTTCTCGCCCTCTCACAAAAGGTACCCACTATGCGGCTTTTGGCATTATAGCTTAGTTTTGCCTGTTTCTGATCATAAAAATGGAATCATTTTTTTTTTTGTGTGTGGTGCGTAGAGAAGGGTGGGGAGTTTATTAGCTTTTCATTCTACGTTAGGTTTAGTGACATTTATCATCACTGTGTCACACTGCTGTACTTGGTTTGTTTTCACTGCTGTATATAATATTCTACTGATTAAGGACACTGAAATGTACTTATCCATTCCCATTGTGTTGAAAGATAATCAAGTCATTTCCAATTTTTTAAAAAATGCATTTTATTGAAATATAGTTTAGGTACAGTGAAATAAACAAAACTAAAGTGACATGGGTCAATATTTTTTTTACAGTGTTCCCTCCCGTCTCTTCCCTGGCAACCAACAAAGAAAGTTTCCTTCCATAAACCTTTCTTTGACCCTCCACAACAACAACAAACTATACTGTATTTGTCCTTCTGTGATTGACTTATTTCACTCAGCCTAATGTCCTCCAAGTTCATCCATACTATGCGGTGTTTTGCAGACTCGACATTATTCTTTAGTGCTGCATAGCATCCCATCGTGTGCATGTACCACAGTTTGGTCACCCACTCTTCCATTGATGGGCATGTAGATTGTTTCCATCTTTTCCTATTGTAAATAGTGCTGTGATGAACATGAGTGTGCATATATCTGTTCCTGTCCTGGCTCTCACCTTTCTAGGATGTATACCTAGTAATGGGATTGCTGGGTCAAATAGTATCTCCAATTCCAGCTTTCTAAGGAAATCGCCATATTGCTTTCCACAGTAGTTGTATCACTTCAGTAACCCACCAGCAGTGTATAAGAGTCCCAATCTCTCAACATCCCCACCAGCATTTGTCATTTTCTGTCTTGCTGAACCTTGCCATCAGTGCTGGGGTGAGATGGCATCTCATTGTTGTTTTGATTTGCATCTGTCTGATGGCCAATGATCGTGAGCATCTCTTCATGTATTTGCTGGCCACCTGAATATCCTCCTTGGTGAAGTGTCTATTCATGTCTTCTGCCCATTTTTCAACTGGATTGTTAATTTCTTTGGTGTTGAGGCATTGGAGTTTTCTCTATAAATCTTAGAGCTAAGTCCCTTGCCAGATATGTAAGTATCGATAAGTATAAATTTGTTGCTGCTATTTTTGTTATGTGCCTTTTTGTGGTGTTGATTTCTTTGTTCCACACAATTTTCTATGCTGAGCTCGTTTAGTTTATGAAACGTGTTATCACTTCCTTTGTTGCTATTGTTTTAGTATTTGCTACATATTGTGCTGGTCCTTTTTTCATTTTGACATTAAGATATATCATTTTTCTTTGATATTACCCTGTGATTTATAATCTTCTTTCCAAGTTTAGAACAGTCTGTTCTATCTTATAGTTGTTTTGACTTCCCTACCATTTAGAAGTTCTGTAACTACACAATTTTTGCCCTCTTTTTGGTTTGTAGTGATCCTCATTTATCAATTGATGTCTTTGGTTCCCTGTTTACAATCTTGTAGGCTTATTTACTTTGGATACTTCCATAGCTGGGTTGGTTTCTGGGTTATGTCACCATGTTTGTTAATGGTCAATTGTTGTTCGCTGTTGTTGCTTCTCTTCCATAGGATTCCCTTTAGCATCTCTTGTAAGGGTGGTCTGGTTTTAACAAATTCCCATAATTTCTGGTTATCTGGAAATGTCCTAATTTCACCATCATATTTGAGGGACAATTTTGCTGGGTACGTAATTCTTGGTTGAAAATTTTTCTCTTTCAGGGTTTTATATATACGATCCCATTGTATTTTTGCATGGTTTCTGTTGAGAAATTCAAGCTCAGTCTCACTGGTTACCTCTTGTAGGTAACTTTTAGTTTTTCCCGTGCTGCTTTCAGGATTCTTTCTTTGTCTTTGGTTTTGGTGAGTTTGATAATGATATGTCTTGGTGATTTTCTTTTGGAGTCTATCCTGTTTGGGGTTCGTTGGACTTCCTGAATGGATATATTCTCATCTTTCTTCATAACAGGAAAATTCTCTTCCAACAAATCTTGGACAATTTTTTCTGTAGTTTGTCTCTTCCTGTTCTGGAATTATGATTACATGTAGGTTATTTCTTTTGATGGTATCCCACATGAACTTTAGGCTTTCTTCATTTTTTTTTTTAATCTTTTTTTTGACTGGTTGCTTTCTAAAGAAGTATTGAGGTATTTACCTTCAATCACACTAATTCTGCCTTCCATTGATTCAATTCTATTCCTTTGTCCATTCAATGTCTTACCTATTTCTGAAAATTTAGTATTAATCTTCTGCATTTCTATGTGTAGATACTGTATCATTTCTAATTTTTCATTTATTGTGTCATTTGTTGTATCGTCTTTTGAAAT